GTGAGGGCTCGGATTCCGACGGGGCAGTTTCTGCCCTGACTGGCTTGGCTGCTGTGGAGAAGACCAGAAAAGTTGGTGCTCTGGGGTAAAGGTTTTATTCTTCTTTCCTCTTGTTATCTCCTCCCCCACCTTCCCTTGATCTATGAAAAACTCCACAATCTACTAAAACCAGGTGCTTGTAGCATGAAAGGGAAATTACTTTGAAGTTTACTTGCTTGCTGCTGTTCCCTCTGGACATCAATTTTTGGGTTTATAACTAGGTTACAAGTTGTCTTTTCTTTTTTCCTTTTGTTTCTTTTTAATTTTTTTCTTTTATTTTGATCTGCTGTGGCTGGAGCCTGACACTTGGATTTGAAAGGCATCCCAGTCTGTTTTCCCACTGTTCCATGCAAAATATCCTCTGACTGAGATTTAATCGCTTTTGATTTCCTTGTTTTAAGATGATGTTTTTCACTGTGACTTTATTTTTCAGCTATTTCATGGTAATTCCCTGTTGGGCAACTAAGCAAAGGGCGATGGAGCGCTCAGGTTATTTCTTTCTGAGTAGCTAAAGTCACCTTTTTTGGAAAAAAAAAAAACTGGAAAAGTTTGAGGAGTAATTTTTTTCAGATTTTAAATATTTCTAAATCAATCCAAGCTGGCAGTTTAAGTGGGTATGCAGGAGATTTAAGCAATGAGTAAAACTGGATGTGGCACTAAAAGGATTTGTTTCTGTGACTGAATCCAAGCCGAATTTCTAACGCGGGGTTTTGCGTTTCTCCCGAATTCTTTCTCAAGCTCAAACTCCAAGGGCTGTCGGACAGAAGGGGCGCAGGCAGGAGGTCTGGAGAACAGCTCTGAGCCCGGGGAGCTGCAGGGAATGGCCTCAGAAGGCACCTCTGCGGGGCCAGAGGAAGGTAACGGGGGCCCCGGGGGGGGCGGGTGCAGCGTGGCAGCACTTGGGGCTCTGCTGAGCCGCCTCTGCACTGGGACCTCGAGGGGGAAAGGAAAGGAGGAAAACCCCCCAAAGCCAACAAGCCCCAAAACCTGCTTTCATGGCTGTTGAACTTTGCTGTAACGTTTGGCAGCTGTGGAATAAACGTGAACGAGGAGAGGGGCTGTGTGTCCTTGCTGTGTGTGGAGGAACGGGGATGTCACGGAGCAGCAGATGTGGTGCCACCTCCCTCCCTGGACAACCAGCTGCTTTTTGTACCTCTTCTTTTGTCTCTAGGTCTTTGCTTTGGTGTCCAGTCCAGTGGCCTTGAAAAGGATTTCTTTTCTAATTAGAACAGTGGTCAGTGACCTTGGCTTTCAAGTCTCCTGTCTTCAGGGACAAACCTCCCTGGTCACTTCCTCCATGTCCTCACTCCAACCTCTCCAGCTCTTCATTCCTGCTGGGTGTTGTGGTACATAAGCCAGTTTCCTTAGTGACTTGGAGGAAACTTTTCCCCCCTCCCTTCCTGCATCCTTTCCACGCTGGAAAAAAATAATATTGCCTTTTTTTTTCCTTTCTTTTTTGAAAGTCCACGTAGAAGAGTTTTTCTTATCTTGCTAAAACTCTCCTGCCTTCCACCCCTGCACTGATTTGAATTTCAATGACTGGATTGTAGCTCAAAGCCTATATTAAGGTGCCAGCATCCATCTCGAGCTGCAGTTTGTGCGGGATCGTGTGGGAGTTGGCATTTGCAGAAGGTCTCTCAGTGACAAAACTGAATTTCTGCTCTTAGTCACTGCAGCGTGATCGTGATGCAGCTCCGCTCCTGGGGCAGAGCCCAATAGGAGAGCGCTTCAAACCCTCAAATACTTCATTGTTAAAAACCCCAGGAAGCAAATGTTACAATTCTGTTCTCCTTTCAGAGGAAAAGCTGCAGTGGAGTTGGCCCCTCACTTGGCTTTTCCTTAGCAATGAGTGTTGGCTCTTAAGAAGTAAAAAGTGTCTCCCCCAGAACTGCCCAGTGCACACCCAAGGTCTGGCACAGCCAAAGCCACCACCTTGATGGCACCAAGAGCTGTGGTTCTGCTTTGAGGGGTCATTTGTTTGTTGTGTGTGACTCAATTGCAGTGCTGCTCGAGGGCTCTGGCAGGTCCATCTGCCCCACGGGCCGTGTTCCCTCTTGGCTGTTCAAAAAGCAACTTTAATTTTTTGAATTGCAACTGGAGGGGAGGGAGATGTGCCCTCCTGGGCTTGGGCTCAGCTGGTGGCACGTGGGAACTGCTCCTCTGGAGTGGAGCTGCCCAGCAAAATCCAGCCGTGGTCTGGTACTGCTGCTCTGTCGGATCCCTCCTGCTCTGGGAAGCACATGGAGCTGCTCTCCGTGTCCTCCTGCCAGCCCTGGGGATGTGATACTGGGAGCTCTTCCATGTGAAAAAGTCTGATAACTGAGCTGCATGGATCTCACCATCCTCTTTGCCTGGGGTGTCTCTCTGGTGTCTCTTGCAGCCGGGGTGTGCCAGAAGCATGTCCTGCATCTCCTGCCGGGAATGAGCAGCGACAGTGACATCGAATGTGACACGGAGAACGAGGAGCAGGAGGAGGCCACCTCACCCTCAGAGGTGTTCAACCAGGCCTTCTCTGTCCAGCCCCCCACCGAAGGTAGGGTGGATATTCCAAGCCCCCCTTCCCAAACACTCCCACACGGCTGTGGGATACAGATCCTGGTGGGGGGGGCTGTGGAGGTGTTAAAGCTCAAGCAAGCGCCAGTAAGATTTGGAACTCCTCTCTTGGGATCCCAGTTAAAACAGATCAAAACAGGAAAGGGAAACTCTTCCTAGCCTTGAGAAGTCAGTTCAGGTGAGTCTCCCGGGGAAGGGTTGGAAAACCCACAGCGCCAGTTCCGAATTGGAACTCCCTGTGTGCCAGCACTGACACTGTAAGTAGGCTAATTCCAGGGAGGTAACCACTGCCTTAGACACGGATTTGCATCTTAATTGGCAGGAATGAGCTTGGAGCAGTTCAGTGGAGTTTCAGGAACTCATCTCACTTTTGGTGTAAAAGCTTTAACTTCTGATCAGTGAATCAAAGCTGAGAGGCCGCAGCTGCCCCGGGGTGAAGTTTGGGCTGAGTCAGGGGAGGGGAGGGAGCACCCACGGGTGTTCTGGTGCCCCTCTGGTGAAGGTGACTGGGCTCTGTTGGTGTCACCCTCAGAACACTCCTCGGTGTTACCGGATGGCGACCAAGTGAGTTCTGACGATCTCGGCTTTGTCCCTGGAGACGACACCACCAGGTAACGGGGACGGTTCTCCTTGGCCAGCCCTGGGGCTGCACCTTCCCTGTGCTGCTCTAGGAGCTGCAGCCACAGAGCCAACACTCCTCCTGCTGTGGGTGTTGGTACAGTCTGATCCCTGTGTTTGGCAGCACCAGGGGGAGGCCGTGGCTGCCCTGCCCCCCTGAGCTCCACCTGGGAATGAGGAGTCTGGGAATGAGGGAGGGCAGGCTGAGTTCTGAATGCTTCTGTAATCAGCACAAAACTGATTGGGTTGAAGCAGCTGACATGAAGTTTTGACTCCTAAGACTGTTTGCTTGAATCCTTAAAGCTACCCCAGCAGGAGGGTTTTCAGTGGAATCTCTTTGTCTGGAGCAGGTAGAGTGTGGGCTTGGGGCCTGAAGACCCACCACTGCATCCCTGGGGAGAGGGGTGTGCATTCCCTGGAGCTGAGCCCGAGGCTGCTGTCGATGGCTGTGTGTGCTCTCCATTCTGTGGTTCTTCTGCCATTGTCTTAAACCTGTCCCTGGGGCACAACGACCTTGGAAGGCCTTGCACTACAGGTTGCATTCCTGCTGGCTCTGCCAGCCTCCTGTGCTCTGAGGAACTGTTGGGAAGGTGCTGAGCCCTGTCCTGGGAGGTGTGTCCTGCTGGAATGTCCTCATTTTAAATAAAATAAATGGGACTGTCCTCATTTTAACCCCCGGCGCCTGGTGGTGGCTCCAGAGCTGGGGTGAAACAGGCGCCACACGAGGTGTTTCCCTGGTCGGTGACATGGACCAACTGCACCCATTGCCAAACTCTTTGCCACTGTTCGTTACATTTTGAGCTGCTCAACTACTTGTGAAGCCCCTCTGGGAGCTGACCCCTGGTTAGTGACAAAGCATGAGGCCCTGTGAGTACCCGGTGTTGTCCCTGTCCTGCTGCCCGTGCCCTGTGTCCGTGTGAATGTGCTGCCGTGGCCGTGCTGTACGATTTAGTTTGAAACTGTTTGCACTTTGTTAATAAAATTGAATGTTGAAACCTGAGGTGGAGTTCTGGATGTTTGAGTGAGGTGGTGGGGGCTGTCAGGGTCCGAGCACAGGCCTGCACAGCCCCTCTGGTTGCTCAGGGGAAGACTTCTCCCTGTCATCCACCTGTCACTTTTTTCTTTAATTACTCAATGAAAAGCACTTAAACCCCTCTGGGATTCTTGAGGCTGTGTTTGTAAAAGCCAGACCAAATGCTTAAATCTCAATTCAAATAGGCAGCGAGGAGGATGCACGGTTTTTACCCAGCTGGGTTTGTGTTTCTCAGCTGCAGAGGGAGCACAGCCTGTTCCAGGGCCAGGCCCCTCTCTGTGGTGGTTGTGGGGGCTCAGGGTGTGCAGGGCTGTGGGTGCATCACTGCCCTCAGCTCAGCTGGTGTCCTCACAGAGCTCTGCCTCTCCAGCACTTGCACAGGGTTTGCTCTTGGTGGGAGGCCCAGCTGAAGGAACTGAGTGATCAGGCACAGGGGTTGTGTCCTGCCTTTGAGGGGCCAGAGAGGAGCTGGTGATTTGCTCACCTTATGGAGAACTTACTTCTGGAGCTGGTTTGTAAAGAAGAGGTGGGGAAAGGGGCTTGGGAGACTTATTTATCTACTTGGACTGTGCCATCACAGCCTTTTGGGCTGTGAAACAGCAGAGCTGGGCTGTGATAGGCCCTGGGCAACCCCATGGAGCCAGAGCTCAACAGAGCCAGCTCCTGTTAGATATCGAAGGAAACCCCCTTTCACCACAGTGAACACAGGGTGGCTGCTGTCTTTGTTAGCTCTTAAATAACCAGACTGCCTGAAGTGTGGTTTAAATTACTGTTTTATTAAGATATTGGTAAAACAGTTTTTCCTGTATAAACAGCTTTCATAAATAAAATATGGATGACTAATACATGGTTATAACTAAACTCGCGGGTGAACTGTAGAACAAGGTTGCAAATGGAAAAGTCCCAACACTGGTACATGATTAGCTTTAATTTATTCACTTCATAAAGAACATGTTTCATGACCAAGGTACTACAGAAAGGTCAACAGGAGCACCCAGGAGCTGACACCACGCCTGGCTGGCCACGAGCAGCAGCACTGGGGGTGAGCTCAGCCACTTCCCCTGTTCTTGTCCAGAGGTGTCTTCTAGAGGGAAGGAGAGGAAAAACCGGACACAAGGCGAGTGCGACGTACAGGAGTTGTAGGAGACCCTGCCCAGGAGTTGTGGGAGGCCCTGACAGGTGGGGTTGTTTCTCTTTAGCTCTAATGCTGGCAGGAGCCGTCGCCGAGTCGCGAGGGCTGGAGGAGGATACGGCCATCGGAGCCAGAGGTCGCCTTAATGCTTCGTTATTTATTGCACATGATACAAGGGTAGGGAGTTTTTGTTCCTGTTGCAGAGAGGGTGTGAATTAAAGAAAGATTGCCCTAAATTACAGCCATGAACGAAGCTGCAGTATCCCCTTGGATGGCTTTGTTTGCGTGACTGGTGGAGTAAACTGTGCTAAAACAGCCCCTAATTTAGACCAATCTTTCTCGTTTTGCTTTCCCGCAGAGCTTTGCCGGGGTCGGGAGGATTCAGGGAGGAGACAGTGGACCTGAACTACAGCAGCCATGTCTATACACAAACTCCTTGTGCCTCATCTGCCCATGGGACAACGGTCTCACCGACACACAGTGTTCCAAAAACAGGCGGAGTTTCTACGATGATGCACCACCATAAACGTGGCATAAGGTAAAGTCTGCTTTGACATTGTCCTTCAGCGTCACGACGCGACCCAACTCAGGTACGGGATGGTTTGAACTCGCAAGGACAATGGATGGCACTTCTAGGTAAAGAAAAGTTATATATACATGTGTTTCCACCCACCTTTAGTGCAAATCAAATGGGTTAACAGCTCCCTGCTCTGGTGCTATTCTGCTCTCTGCACCGCACACATTCCTCAGAGTTGCACATGGAAAAGTACACAGGAAACTACCGGGATCGCGGGAATCCCGCCAGTCCTCACAGTGAAGAGCTTACGAGCGAGGTTGGAGCGGCTTCAGACAGAACCAGCCTGGAGCCCCTTCCTCAAAACCAACACAGACTGAAACACAAAAAAAAAAAATAAAGTCATGTTTTCGCTGCTCCCTCCTGGTTCTGCCACCACGGTGACCACGCCAACCGGAACGGATGGGGTTGTGTTAACGCGGGAAAGGGATACTTCAGCTCTTTATTGGAAAGATTCGTTATACAAATTTCACCACCACTAAAGATACACGATAAAAATACAAAACACAGGTCACAGACTGAATCTCAGTATCAACAGTTAATAAATACAATGAGATACTTCTCTATTAGCCTAAGGTTTTACACTGTCACCAGATAGACAATCAAAGTACGAGATACAGAACACTTAGATACTGTTAGAGAGGGATTATTGCTTACGTCAGCAAGCAGCAAATAAGGGCACAGGAGTTTGAACTGAAGAGAACTACTTCCTATCACCAGTGGCATTAAGAGAAAACACTGCATTTCACAAGCACTGCTTTTTGTCTAGTTGTAGAATCAAGAGCAGCATAATCAGACCAATAACCACTACTTTTAATATTATAGAACTTTAAAGGACTTACCTTACAAATGGTTCCTATCTACTCTATAAATATGCAGTTAGTGAAGAAATGAACACTTGCTCTATCTATACAATGGTTTTACCTGACCACACTGGAACTACGATGGTGGGTTGTTTTCTCCTAGCAGGATAAATGGGATGAGTCACAGAATTATCATTTATGAATCCACACCTAAAAAGCTAAATCCTTCCCAAAACAGCACACATGCAGTCCAGTGCTCTTCAACTGCTCCTGCAGACTGGGAAGAAGTTTTGTCATCCATAATGGGTTTTCACTCTTAAGTTACTCACACAAAGAATTGCACTTACACCACCTTTCTCTCCGGAACACGACAGTCAGCTAAAGATGGACTTCCAACGAGCCATTATTACTGTGAATAATTTAAAACAAAGGCACCACAGAGATGCCCCAGAGTTGCATATTTTACCATTTCATGGTTTCTCAAATTTCCTTGGTAAATCTGACTTGGAACATGAGCTGCAGCTGAAGAGAACATCGACAACAGCTAAGGCGGAATAAGATGACAGATAAGAGCCAATGATCCCGTAAGATTAAAACAAAGTCTGAAAAAGATCAAAGGAATCTGAAGCCACACTCCAACTCCTGGTTGCTCACAAAGCCTTTTGCTGTTCATCAGATTGCTTTTAAAATAGTGCATCAAAGATAGAAGCAGCGGAAATTGGCAGAATTCAAGCCTTGCCATCTCGTCGTGTTGAATAATCTCCTCTTAATATTAAAATACTTTGCAAATTCTAGCTAAACACTAATACTGCTATTGTTACTGCTAAAGTGATATGAATGGTACACTAAGTGCCTATGAAGACTGACTTTATTCATACTCCTCCAAATGTCTTAGTGTAACAAAGGACAGTAACAGGATCTGGGCTTAGTGGAGCTGATGGGAATCGGCTGCTTATTTACGTCCCAATTAACGGCTCCCTGAGGGTGGAACGTCCCCTGGGGAGCGAGGAGGGGCTGGTGGCCCCTGCCAAACCGGGGCAGCTGACATTCCTCACTGGCCCCCCTGGCCCCAGGGGGACCCAGAGCAGTGAATTCCACCCAAGGACAGCCCCTGCTCATCCGCATGCTCAGCATTTCCACCCGCTCTGGATCGCTCCGGCAGCCCGGCATCCGTTCCTACACACCCTGACAACACCCCACGGCAGCCCTGGCGCTGCACCCACCATCCTTCATGCTGAAATTTGATATTAAAGGATGCCTCTGCCATCTAGAAATCATTAATGAAACCAAACAGCTCATCCAGTTGATCTCCGGTGCGACAGGCGGAGGGACAGGGGGTTGTCCTGAACTTCTTCATGGATTTGTTCTTTTAAGACCTGAGATGAAGTTAGGGTGGGAAGAGGTTGGCTCAAAGCATTAAGCACAATCATGTTCAACTGAGAACAGTTTCCTAAACTGAGAAACAAGAAAAATGCCACTAAAAGCACCAGAAAGGTATGAAATTCCCTACACTGCACCTCCAGCCACAGGAAAACAGGATTTTTTTTTAACTACAAGAAAAGTTTTCTTCATATTCCGCATTTTATGTTACATGGAAAAAAAAAAAAAAAGGTAAATTATGAGTCTGTACCTCAACAGGAGTCTGAGACCAGAGCAGCAGGAGCTTAGTGTGTCCATTCCTAAGGTACCTGGTAAACCCTGTATGGCTTTTAGTCGTCTACCTGCAAAAGTGGATGTGATTCCTAATTCACCTTAACGCTCACCTGGAACAAACAGAAAGCAGAACACAAGAAACCCCCCCCCACACCTCGACTCTACGGAAACTTCCCCCCGCTCTAGAAAAATTTGGCAGTTCTGAACCAGACCGTGCTGTAAGTATTGCTGCACAGACATTCCTCAGGCAGGTGCAGCCTTCTGCGTGTCTAAGGACTGTGCCCTGACGGAGTCTGTCCACGTGAAGCGGCTGTTTGGCTTTCCCTGGTGGATGTGGCTGGACACTCGTGTGTGCGGGTGGTCGGGCGGCTGCGGAATTGCTCAGGGTGGCACCACCAGCAAACTTTATTGAGATTTGAGACAACTACATTTGTTAATTCCTAGGTCTATTTACACAGGGTTTGGAGCTTTGCAGGGGACTGGAGTACAGTTCGGAAATGCCCACCTATTTTCGCTCTCTGATGATGCCAGTTTTTATTTTGGGAATGTCTACTTTGGGAGTCTGACAGGGGGAACACGAGGGGGTGGTTACATTTTACAGCATTGATGGAGGGGTGGGTCTGGTATACAATTACTTTGTCTTCGCATCAAAAACATGCTCTCGCTGTAAGTGTTACGACTGAGCAGCCTCTGCCAGGGGGAGGGTCGGGCCCACGCCCTCCTGCTCCTGCGGCCCCGGACAGGGAAGGGCAGGGTGGATCCTTCTAGGTGGGAAGGCTCCTGAGCCCAGAGCGGGGTGTGAAACTTTGGTGTGAGCCTGGCTGCTCGTCGCCTCTTCCCGCTGCAGAGCCGGACGTGGAGGAACGTGGCTCGTTTTCCCAAGGATTCGAACAGTTCATCTTCCAGCCCAGAGAAGATGGGGGATAACCCCTTCACCCTGTAGAAGCCCTGCCCTGCAGCACCCGAGCTCAGGGGAGCGTCGTGCTCCCCGGGGTGGCTCTGCCCGCAGACCGAGGCCGTGGCGCGCTCTGGGGATTCGCCCTTCGCTGGGAAGCTGCTGATCAAATCTGCACTCTTTGGTATTCCAGGACTAAACACTTGGACTGGTGGCAGACATTTGGCACTCTGAGGTGTACTAGTTTCTGGTTTTGTCAGGTCTAAATAGCCTTGATCATCAAGCAGGTTGATGCTGGACCCTATGCTTAAGCTAGTTCTGTCGGTGAAGGAATCCACTCGTCCTTCGTACCCTAAATCTGCCGGTGCTGAGCACTGGTGCTGGGGCCACGGCCGTTTGCAGTCTCCATGGTTCTCCTTGTCTTCCCCGTTGTCTTCCTGCCCCCCTTGGAAAGAGTTCTCTGTCCAGTCCGACTCCTCGCTGACGGTGACGGCCGCGTTCATGTCCCTGAGAAAGACCACGATGACAGTGATGTTGTCGCTGGAACCGGCATCCCGGGCAGACGCCACCAATTTGTGTGCTACCATGCTGCTGTCACCATTGTTCTCCTTGAGGTGGTCAGCCACCACCTTGACTGCCTCGTCGGGGTTCACGGTGTCGTAGAAGCCATCACAGGCCAGAATGAGGTAGTCTTCAGAGCCATCCAGCACCGTGGAGGCAGAGTCTGCATCCCCACAGATATATGGCTTGTGCTCGGCGTCCCCTGAGGAAAAACAACACATAGACACCACCGTGGGTTTGCAGCCACAGCATCCAGAAGCCCTTTATTAACTCAGCATGGAGCCAATGACTCTTAGCCCAAGTTAAAGCAATTATTTGGGAATTATTCCCTCAAACTGTAGGGGGAAAAATAGAGGTCATTGCTCACAGCTCGGTCTACAGCTGTATTTCAAATTGTGATCACTAGAAAATTAAAATTTTATGGTTAAAAAGCAAATAGCTGAAAAATTAAAATGCTGTAAAGAAAATCAAGCCTCCAAAAGGAATGAAAGCCCTGTCTTACCAATAGCTCTGGAGACAGACAGGCTCCCGTTCACCCTCCAGGCTCCAAACCAGACCACGCAGCCACCCAGGGCCTCGATGCGCTTCTTCTCGTCCTAAACAGCAACACAGGAGTTGTTTGGACAGAGCTGCATCACACACTGAACAGTCCCATAAATATTTGTTCTTTCACGTACACATGGTGGAGGCTGCAGGCCCCCAGAGGTGAGAGAAAGGATTTGTACACAAATCCATAGTGACACCCAAACAAACCGGGATAACTGGAACATACTCACAGAGACACTGGCACGGCACTCACAGCAAGCTGGTACCTGTGGGGAACACTGCCCAGGTGTGTTTAGAACAGGCTGTTCTCACCTCTCTGTCTGGTTTGTGGGGTTTCATCAGCTCCACAGCTTGGCCTCTCCTCACGAGCATAACCTGGGAGTCCCCAAGCCAGGCCACGTGCAGCATATTCCCTCGGATGAAAGTCACCACCCCGGTGGTTCCACAACGCAGGCTCTGGACAGGGTGGAAAAAAAGATGCATTTCCATTTCAAAGCATTTTCTTGCTTAACTCGAGGACAGAACATGTTGACAGTGCAGCACAGAGCCTATTCCCAGGGAGGAACAGGCAGTGCTTTCCCTACGGCTACGACTGCTCAGTAACAGCTCCCCAGAGCCAACCTGGCTGAATGTGAGTGACTGAATTTGTCCCGTGACATCCCTGGAATGGGAACTGCCTGTCAGCAGCCAGGCTCTGCTGGTGTCTGCTGTGTGACTGCCCTGGCTGACTTCCTGTCATTGACAGACACACAGGCATGTCACTGAACTTGGAGGGAGGTTTATTTATGAGCAGCCCGAGTTCCCTGCACTTAACTCATGCCTTGCATGAGTTTAGAAGGCCTATGACTCACTTATCCATTTATTCTTGCTTTCTGGAGACAAAAAAAATGTATCTTGTAGAGATGAGGAAAAAAACCACCCCACTCCAAGGACTAAACCTGAGGAAAAAAACCCATCCCAAGGACTAAACAATGGCAGCAGCATCCTTCTAAAGGAACTGGCTGCTGTGAGAAGTGGAAGGTGGCATTTTTATGGGACACAGAGGAGCCCACCACTGGGCACCAGCTCCATGGACTGTGCATGGGCAGCTCCAGTCTGACCTTGGCCTGTGCTGGGAGCTGACAAAGGCAGAATTTATAGATTGATGCTCTCAGGGTCAGGCCCAGGGCCCTCCCTCACCTCCCTGGCTGCCTTCTGGACGAAGCGCTCGTCGGTCACGCGGAAGGCTCGGCACAGAGCCTCGGCTGGGTCGTGCTGGAACATCTCCTGATGCACCATGTTCACGTGGAGGTGGATGGAGGCATAAATGGCAGCATCCACTCCCCCATGGCCGTCAAACACCGCGAAATAGGCCTGTTCTTCTTGGTCCTGCCAAGAGAAACACATGGAGGAAACACCTCAGGAGAAAGCAATGCAAACAGCCAGCTGGACTGTCCTAAACCTTTGAACTTGGGATTTGTGGTGTCCTCATTAAACTGGACTTAGAGGCAGAGTCTCCACTGGAAAAACAAACTGCCCTGGCCATCTTCACTTGCATCAGTGGGAAACTTCCAGCTTACTGTTGAATACTACCTGCAAGAATGCCCTGCCAGAATCAGCTCTGTGGGGCTCTCCGTGCTCCTTATGTCCCATTTGTTACCACTCAGTCACACAACTCAAATAGGAAGTGCCATTCTCATCAAATTGTGCAGGAGATTCTGTGACTGCAAAAACCACAGGGAGAGAAGAACATCCACTACAGTTTGCATGAAGTCTGCATCGAGACTAGAATCCACCAGGGATAAAATGCCAGTACAGTTAAAATGTGAAGCCTCTGCTTTCATTCTTTTTGTTTCTTAAATCTAAAACATATCATTTTAGATGCCTGTCTTTGAAAAAAAAAAAAACCCTGTATGTGCTCTCTCATCAGATAATTGTGATTACATTCACAAATCAAATACAGCAAAATCGCTCATCTTCAAGTCAGTTTTCTCAGCTTCCTCTTATCTGTTCAGAGAAACAAAGCAGTACCAAGAGACAGCAACTCCTGTGCCTGTTCACACACACACCACCAACCCACTGACAGTGCCAATTCAACCTTGACAGCCAGCTCAATGACTGGAATATTTGCACATTGTAATTTTTAGGTAATGGGCTCCAACACAAATTGGAATAAGAAAGCTGACAATTGACAGGCAAAGGAAACATCTGCCTCTGTTTGCATTAATATAATTTAAAGGTAAGAATGTGGATGGGGCAGAAGATGGTTATTAAAGTGACAGGATGTAATAAAGGTGCAATTATGCAGCAATCTGATCCTAAAAGTCTTGATACTTTCTTTTATTTTTCATTCCCCAGTGTCCAGTTTTATATCTCAAGGAAGAGCAAGAGTGTCTGACCAATGGCCACATAAGGAAATTAATGGGGTGGAATGACCCCAGTTCCACTAAACCTTCATGTTGGTAGATTCTCATGGGAGGTGCACCCCATTGTCCTGTAAGTTTTGTGTCTGTTTGGGGTTTTTTACTTTCTGTCCTTATTCTTGCTTTTGGCTTCTTCCTCCCAGGGGGATGGTTGAAAAGCAGGACAGACCTACCCCTGGTTGTCACCTGGCTTCAGTGATGGATTGTAAGGTGACCCCCTTTGTCTTTGCCACTGGTGATGATCTCCCACACCTGGGCATCCTCAGCCAGCGGAGGCTCCAGCCTTGGTTTGTCTCACAGTAGTACAAGTGCATCAGTTCCCACTCACAAGAGCAGGGCTGCTTTCTGCACAAAGGCAGGGCAGTCCTTGAGCCACTGCGGGAGCAGCTGCATCAGGATGGGCCAGGTACAACCTTTGTGTAGTCAGGTGACATTTCACCAGAAACCTGTGCAAGTGGCTGTTTTGTTGTATACACCCTCTGTGGAAACTCCCTGTCATGCTGTGGTTACACCAACACCAACTGAACCAACTCAACACCACGTGTGTCCCTGCACTGCCAACCCTCCTCAGGCCCATCCCATTTCATCCCCTCAGCAAAAGATGCCCCAGTTTCCCCAAGAATGGAAACCATTATCATATGATGTGTCTCCCTGGTGATCTGTGCTCACCTCGAGGTTGAAGAGCATGTTGAAGTCAGGGATGCAGACGTGCTTGTCCTCCATCTTCCTGCGCATGTTCTTGATGGCGTGGATGGACGTCTCGTAGTAGCGGTGGGGCTTGGGCTGCAGGGGGAAGTCTTTCACCCAGTTGCTGCAGATCTCGTGCAGTTTGCTAAAAACCAGGCGGGCCAACTTCACTGTCTCGATCTCTGGGGAAGGCACAAACCACAAATGAAAGGCTGAGAGTGTTACTAATTGAATTTTTTTTCCCTTGCATACATCGCGGAGATGAAACAAAACCGTTTCAGCCAAGCAGTTGAAATGGATGTCAGCAGGGAAATTCTGGGCTCTGATGCATGAAAAGGGGAAGCCAAACTCACCACAATCAGCATTCATCAGTAAGCAGCTCATTGTTTGTTTGTCTTTTCAACTTAAACATTTCCCTGTGCCTTTGGGGAGCTCATTTGCAGCATGAGAAAAAAATGAAAAGCAAGTTCTCTTCCCTCAGCGTCCAATCCCCCCGTGCCACTCTGCCCAGGGTGGTGCAGCTCTGACAAGGACTTTGTCATGGCACGTACAAAACCCACCATCCATAACAATGAGAGATTGGTTTGGGACCCAGTTCTCTATTCTAAACACCATTTCACTGCAGAGCCGAGGCAGAACAGTGGAAACAATCTACAGAAATTAGCAGTATTACTTCAAGGTGTTCTGGCAGTGCACACTTTCAGCATTGCACAACTCAGGTGCTGCCTCAGTTATTTCCAGATTTCTTATTATTTCCATACTCCTGACAATGATGTGTCAAAGAAATCTGCATGAGCAAGTGAGAAAACCATAAAGGTCTCAAATTTAGGAAAATGCTGAACTGTCACTCCTGAGAAATAGGCATTTTAAAATGTGAAAACTCAGGCACTTGACATTTGTTCTGAAATTCAGGGCAGGAAAACAGGAAGTAATCAGAGCTGAACACATCAAAATCTCTTTGTTCATGATCGTTCACCAAAGGCAGAGATCTTCAAAGCTGAAGGCAGCAATCCATGAGTGCCAATCGTTGCTGGAGAAGGAGGGGCTCAAACACAGGGAGGAGAGGGGAGTGTTACAGCATCTCTTGGTTCACAGGAATTCTGTGAAGAGCCTAAAAGCAGCATTTACTAATTTCTGACCTAGGCCTACACGAAATGTGGGCTACAGTGACCAGGGAGCCAAGGCCTTTAGGAACAAGATACATTCCCAGCTCTGATTGGTTCCAGTTTAATCTACTGAGCAGCCATGAAGCTGGAAATACACTGTACCCATGACTAAAAGGAGTCTTAGCTTCTTGATCACACCAGTAACAGGCACCAGTTCCTCACACCACCCGCCCAGCTCTCACCAGTGCCACCAGAAAGCCTTTCCTGGGTAATGTGTTTAAACAGGGGGCACGTACAGCCTGAGGTGTCCAAATGATATTTTCCAGAGGGAAGCCCCCAGACTTGCTCTTCCATTTCTGGGCAGAGACGAAGGGCAGTGGGGTCCGTGTCGGGGTACATGTGACTGTCATGTGGCTGCTCCACCTCACAGTGTCACAGTGTCACTCTGAGGGAGGACAGGAGTGAACCCACTGGCCGTGCCCAGATCCTCAACACCCTTCCCAGTGGGGATATATGTGGTGTTGGCATCGTCAGTAATTGCTCTTGAGGTTAAAGCAGCAGAAAGGCCCACAATGGTTAACCCACAATGGTTAACCCACCCCCTCACAGCTGGAAATTACTCATCAATTGTTAATGCTGCTGCCCTGAGCCAGAGCTGACTCAGCCATCACTGCGGTTGTGTCACAGAGAATCTCATTTCCCTCCTGCTGCTCCACAGTCCCCAAGGTTGGAAGTAGTGCTTCACTGCACCACAGCTGGTGGGAAAGCCAGCTCAGGCACTATTGTTCCCAGAGACTGACTCTTAGGGTAAAATCAGGGTAGAAAGAATACCAGGAATTAGATCCTGATTTTTAGTACCATATTTTATGACTTCTCTTGAAAACATGGACAGTCTGGCAACAGGGGTCAGAACCCACATTTATAGACTTGTCATCAGGCCAATGGCCAAGGTTTTCCTTAATCTGGGAACTCCAGTTTCTGACTAGTCAAGGGTCCCTGTGTGTCTTGGCTGCAGTAATCCCATCTCCCAGTCCCTGGAAGGGCTGGGGAATGGGATGATGTGATCTGCTTTGTGATGTCTGCTGGACATTTTAGATATTTTAGATACCACCACCATGTCACACTGTCGGTACCATCCAGCCTCCTTTGGTGGTTCCTTAACAATGCCAAACTTCCACGTGATTATCTACCTCCACACAACAACCCAAAACTAAAGGTCCTTCACCTGACCTTTCAAAACAGAAATCCAGCATCCTTCAGTTCTCTTGGAAACTCTCTTGCTCCTCTCCAACTGCAAGAGTCAGTCATGGCCTGTGACTCAGATTCTGTTCTTGATATCCAAAGACACACAGTCACCCCAAATATAACAAGCCCACATTCTTGCATTCCTACATTTGTGGACTCAAACCAGTTTTCCTTCATTTAAGATTTGCCCTCTTCTTTCAGGAAGCTTCTAATTTCCCTTCCACCAGCACACCCGTGACTGCTTTTACCACCCCTGAGTCTGTGCCATGATTTGTCACGTTGCAATTCTCCGAGTGAAATGTGCCACTAAGGAAATTTGAAATTGCTTTTTTTTTTGTCTTCTGGCAAATTCAAACTTGAGGCAAATCAGGTAAATGTCTCCTTGTATTACACAGAGTAAAAATCTTCCTGGGTTCATAAGAAACACTGACAGAAGTGGATATTAAAACCCAGCCAGCTGAATTCAGCTTGGTTTCACAAACAGCAACAGGGCACAGTGAACTCTGAGCACAAAACTTCAAGATGTAGAAGTCCCATTTTTATCCCCTGCTGCAGTTTCCTCTGTTTTCTTTCAAAGCATGACAGTCTCCCTGTGTGGCACCACTGAGGGAAGGTCTCCTCTAACTTCCTACCTGGGTTTCTCAAGAGACTCCTCTAGAAAGTTCACTAGGATGGAGTTTTGCAATGAAATCTTCAGTCCTGCCCAATTCCCCCAGTTTTGTTCTGGTTTTCTAGGCCAAACCTTCCATCACCAGGTGGTGAAGGACTGATGGAGCCCTGGCTGTGCTGGGGCTGCCCCATCCCTGGGAGTGTCCAAGGCCAGGTTGGATGGAGCCTGGAGGAACCCGGCCTGGTGAGTGGCAGGGGGTAGAACTGGGTGGCCTTTAAGGTCCCTTCCAACCCCAACCACTCTGTGGCTCTAATTCTGTGATCACTTGAGCTCATATTTTCTTTGGAAAAATTATCATTTATGGCATATTATTTGAAATTGCAGTGTTTGTATGAAACCTTTGCTCTACTATGGGCCAGAAGATGTTCTCTCTCTTCCTCTGCCCTTTAGCTTCTCAATTTAACTTTTCACATTGCATCAGTAAAGGTATATTTGATTTCCAAGTACCTTCATCATGACAATTCACCTCAACAAACTGCATCTGGAGTGCTATTCTTAGTGCCTGCTCCAGTCTGTTCCCATCTCAATCTACGTTTGCATCTGTCTTCCAGACTCAGATATATTTGAGTGGCAATTTCTGTAGGTGTGAGGGTTTTGTGGTGGCTTTTTTTTTTTTTTTCCTTTTTCTTTTTCTTTTTTTGTTGAATTCTTTAGATATTCTGTGTGGAGGCTTAGTCAACATTTCCTTGGAGACTGTCAAATATTTATGCACATCTCAGAGATCTCAATTTGAAATTAATGAAGGCTGCTCAGTCAGAACAATGACAAATCTATTCCATTTACCTGCTCAGCAGGAGGAGGCAGCAATACCTACAGAAAGGGAACCAAGAGCATGTTTTTCTGTTTCTCAGGTTTCCAGAGGCCTCTGGGGAATGCAGCTGAATCTTCCTTTTTGAAGAGCCAGATTTATAGATCCTCCTTATCCCCAGAATAATTCACTTTTTTTTTTTTTTAATCAAAAAAGGAAGGAATGGACAAAGTGGTTTAGTGACTGTATTTTCAAGATCAAATGACAGAATTCCTGTCAATACATGTGAGAAACATTGTTCTTTGTTGTAACGAGCAACCCAGCATTTTTTCAAGGTTATTTAGGCCAGGAGAGTCCTGAAATGATTTCAGGTGCATGACCTTGAGCTGGATGCTGCAAAAATCTTCTTAGCCAACAAAGACAAATGAGGGAAAGGAATTTTTTTTTCCTTTTTAATCCTGAGATCTCTTTATACTATCTTTTGCTAAAAGTGTATTAAAAAAAATTCAAGCCATAGTAAAAACTACACTGGCTGAAATAATTCAGAATTAAATTCTCTCTTCCCACATATATTTGATTTTGCTCCAAGGATGAGGGAGGACAACTAGCACTTGCCAGCAGAACCACATGGTCTAAAGTGCTGATAAAGAAATTCAGGGCCATCAGACACAGCCATGAAGGTGCACTTAAAAGGAAGGAGTTATTTCAAAATGAGAAAGCTTTAACTAAGAAATTAGTCACTGCCTGTATCAGGAGTGGTAGGGAATTCTCCATTAATCTTTTTACATCAGTGAGGGATATTCCTCTACCAGAAATCCAGTCCAACTTCATTTAGCTGGCTGGTGGGAGGAACTAATTTGAGGAATTAATGAAATTCAGGTGGCCAGACAAGATGGATCACTGAAGTCAAAGCTGACCTTAAAAACCTATGAATTATCTGCAGAGTGTTCCAGTGTCCAGTGCCAGTGCCAGACCCCCCCAGGGAGGCACTTACGTATGATCCCGTCGGCGTTGTCCACGTGCTTTGGTAGGAAATGTGCCGAGAGGTCGCTCTGCAGGACCTCGTCTGAGGTTGCTCTTGCTAAAGCAGCGGCCAAAAATGAGGGGCAATTACTGGAAAAGAGAAAGAGAAACACACCAGAAGGTATTTTAATCTGATCCAGGGAGGTCACTCCCAGTCAGGGAAACACGTAACTATTTTTCACCAAGACTCTTCCCTACCAGGCAGCACCACAACCCTGCAGCAGGACCTCAGACTCACCCTATGGATTTTAATGACCCCATTTCGCTCTTATGTTCCCTGTTACTTAAGTTTCAATGTTCCATTTCATAACCTCTATTTAAATGCTTTTCAAATCTGGACTTGAGCCCCCCTGCAGAGCCTGTCACACAACCCTGGTTTACCACATGTTTTCTACACGTGCATTATACACTTTTATCTTTAGCCCAGTCTGTCCAGTTTCTCCTAAGAATTGGAGTCAGAATCCCAAAGGATAGGAGAAGTCCTCAGATTTCAGTGTCCAAGGCCTCTCCAAGGGGCACTGAAAGTTAAGGCTGAGCCATAGGAGGCACAATGTTGATGTGCATAAGGTTAAAAATTTCCCTTGTGAATGGTCTCTATCCAAAGTGAAGTGGCTTTAGCTCACTGTATCTTAATTAAACCTGGTATCTCCCAAGATTAATTAACCTATAGCAAACCAAGGCCACTTTAATGTACATCCTCTCATTCAAGAGGAGTTTAATACCTCTTAATTTATATATGACTTTGTATTTCCCACTGGTCAGCCTGAACTTCTCCTGACACAGCCTGAAACTTCCAGTTTCCATAGATACGATTGGTGTCCTCCATGAGACATTTCTCCTGTCACAGGAGCCAGTTTCAGTCTCAGAAACTGTCCATCAGCAAGAGAATTCCACGTCAGAAACCCAGGGAATGGGCAATGAGCATATGCACTTCCTGAACCTACTCCTTCTGCTTGTGCCCAGTAAGTCTGTTGGGATGTTTTTAGTATGGTTGGAGAGGGGATGTTAACTAGACACATCATTCCAACCAAATCCAGAGCAGGAAAACTTCTACACACAGAACTGGACTCATCAGGCTTCGTTCTGGAGCCTGGGGAGCACGTGGTGACTGTCACTTCCATTCACAGCTGGTTCACTGCCCAGGAAAAGCCCCCCAAAATTTCCCACATGCCATAGCTTTAGAGGGAATCTGAATTCCAGGGAAAAAAAAGGCAGGATTGCTACACTTGGGTTGTTTTGAAAAGCCATTTTGCCACCAAGTTTTCCAGATTCTTGGTGCCAAATGCTGCTACAAACAGTCAGATTATGCAACAGAGTTAGAATATACACACAGGGTAAGCCCTCCAGCCTTCATTGTTTACCATTCAACTTATCTAGAAATGATTTCAGTGTAAGATTAGCAATGAATAACTTTGCCCAACACTGTCCATGAGACCAGTGCTGGCCCTTGAAGTTCTGCAGAGCCACTCACACCACGTTCCCACCCCGTGCAGGAGCCTTCCCTGGAATTAGAGCCGAGCATTCCGCTCACGCAGCACTCCAGCCTCAGCAGCGCTAATGAACCTCGGCTGCTGGGGAAATCAGCTGCCTTAGGATGGCTCTTCCCAGCACAGCACGGGAGCTCTGATCCTCTTTACCTACAGCAATGCCCGGGATCAACAGGAGGAAAACACAGCGGGACCTCCCTCACTTGTGGCGCGTGCGGGAGCTGATTCTCTGTCTTGTCTTTTCTGCCTTTATTACACTCAAAAAGGGCAGGTTTTTCAGGTCTGTTATTAGCCCAAAAACTCCAGAGTGGTGATGCTGGTTTCTGGTCGTATTACATGTGATTCCCATGTTACAAAAAAAGGGAATAGAATGCCTGGGATAGAATAATGATGTCAGCAGTGATCAACACCACAGGAACCTGAGCTGCTTTGCCAGTCCACAGCTTACCCTGACCAGCTCGGGGCTGGAACCTTTTAGGAAAACCAAACTTGTTTGGTGTCCCTTACAAACAATCCCTCCCTGATGGGCAAAGAGGGAACCTGGTTAAGAAGTTAGCAACAGTTAAGAAGTTAAGAAGTTAGCAACAACAGTTGCTAAAATAGAGACTTGGGACCTAAACAGCAGAGAAGAAATATCCCTGACATGAGGAAACTCTGCTCTGCCTGGGCTTGGGAGGTGGGACAGCCACATCTATGAAGATCCAGAGTCGTGAACACTCATATCTGAAACTTTAGATATTATTTTAACCACAGTGCCAGATGACACAATTGAAAGGTGCATTTACAGGGTCATGGAGCTGGACAGAGAACTTCCCCAATCAGCTCCAAGTGCTATTTACATGTCCCCACAGCCAGTGCCAGAATTCCACACAGCAGCTCTTTATCCAGCCAGAGACTGCATTTCCATTACAATGCTGAACCTACACAAAAAGCTGCTAAAGATGTTATTAGATAAATTAGAGGATTTTAAGTACATCCTTCCTGATTCTCTGGCAGCGTAGGTGTGTTTAGAACACCCACAGTTGCATTGCAGCAGTCCTGGAATAACTCTGGTAAGGTAATAAATCAAGCCTAAAAGTGGGCTGTTTCCATCAATTAAGTTTGAGAAAACCAGTCTGAGGTGGGTTTAACTCAGCCCACATATTATTATGTTACCAGCTTAACACACAACTCTGCTCCATCCTGATAGCATTAAAGAGGGGAAGACTTTCTAAACGACTTTTCTGAGCTATTCCTCTGCTCTCTAAATCTAATCTAAGCTCTCCTACTGAAAGAAAGAGAGATGGCAAATTTAAAATTCTTACTGCATGGGAATTCACTGCCAGGGTTTGAGCAGCTGATCAATGCTGATGGGAAAGGCAGAGAAAATAAATCAGCTGAAGGCTTTCCTTCTATGTCTGGCCACTCTTTGTCCTAATAATAACAGCTGCTGGCCCAGGAATTAATTGGCCTTGACATTTGTTGCTCACAAAGCTTCTTATGTGGCTGTTACAGGGCTGTGCCATGTAAGCAGGGAAGTGACCAGATGCAGACAGATGACTTCCTCTTCCTGATTAGCTCAACTCAAAATTTACTTCTTGTCCTTGGCTCCTGGGAGAACTTTAGTTGAATTACTTTTCCCCTTCAGGTGCAGCAGACTGCACTGGAGGGTTTTTACTCTTTTTAACGTAGCTGTTGAAGTCAAACCACTCTCAGGACACTTCATTACTGTTCCACCAAGACAAATGAAGACTCAGGTCTTTGTTTTCCTTTGTTTTCCTCACGTGAGCACCTACAGCATCCCACACAAACAGCAACGACCCCTCCTCTGGGCAGACAGGATCCATGGGGCACTGGAGGAGCCTTGCATCCTGCTGCTGGCACAACTAGGGATTACCTGCTGAAAATAAATTCTTCTGCCACATTCTAGATGCTCAAATGCTATTAGTCATTAAGTTTGACAAATTGGAAGCGGGAGGGCACGATCTTGTTTAGCAGAGAGCTGAGTGCTAAAATGCCTTTGTCTATTCATAGCTGTGCCACTGACCTTGGACGAGTCACTTCAGCACTCAGACCTTCATTCCTCATCTACAAACAAGGGATGATAATGTCATTTCCTTGGGGAGAGGAGGAGAGGGAGGAAGGCTGTAGAAAGCTTAATTCAGTGTTCATAAAGTACTCTGGAATTTCTTGATAAGAGCACAACTGAAGTGAAAAATATCAAGATGAGAGTGGGAGATATTTTCAATCTGTAGAAGATTTATGGACCTTTCATACTTTTTTGTCTGTTCTCTGTTCTCAGATGCTGCCAGAAATGCTAAATGGACACAGGCAAACAGCAGCTTCAGAGAGACAGGTTCAGTCTGAGGTAGCTGATAACTCGTGGGCAACAAGAGCTGCACCACACCAACACATTCCTACAAAAGCTGATGCATCTCAAAAGGGGAAAACCACAAAAGGAAGTCCTTAAACTCAGTGATGCTGATGTTCTGGATCTGTTGATGCTGCAGACATGGTACTGCCCCTGAGCAAAATACCCAACGAGGGCCACCAGTGCTGAAAACATGAACACTGTCTCTGGAGTCACTGATGAGGCATCACCAACCCAAACAAAGCCAGGAAAATGGACCGAAACATACTGGGGCTTTCAAAGGCCAAAACAGTCAGTAAATCACAAAACATACAGTGTTCCTGTTACCTCAAGAATCCCCTGACACTACAGAACAGCAATTGTTTCAGTTAGAATGAAGCATGATTTAAATAGAAATGCTATTCAATCTGCTGAAGCACAAAAATCCACGGGCTAACAGGATAAAGCAGCGTGTTTGGTTTCACACAGCAGTCCAAGACCAAGAACATGACCCGAAAAGAGCCAAGTACAGCACATTCCCCAAAGCCCTATAATTTACTGTGCTAGTAAAAGAGTTTGTAGGGATGACAAGCTGAATGCACTCTTTCCAAAAGACATTACAGCAGGGATACAGTTTAGGAAACACTCCTGTTCCTGTGGCCTGTTACAAGTTCTTGTTAGAAAGCAAGTTTTGCCAGGTTCAATTTAAGTAAAACCTCATTTGTCCCCAGCCTGTATTTACAAAACACTCCCAAGTCTCATGAGACTTCTTCCAGATGGAGCTTCGGATCCAGCCTGGAAGCTCTTTGAAGAAGCCTTTACAGCCTTTATTATTGAAAGTTCCCATGCTGTGAACTGCAGCAGAGAATTCTCTGGGAAGGTCCCTTTGTTTATCCAGCCCTCCCTTCATCCACCTCCTGTTTCCATGGCCTTCCAGAAGGACGTGGAGCCAGCTGAGGGGCTTCTGTTTGTCTCCTAACTCCTCTAGGTCACACAGGACTCAGAGAGGAATGTTTTGTGAAGCAGTCCAAGACCCCAGAATGATTATGGATGTATCCTCTAATTCTGCCAAGCAGATGCTATTTCCAGCTCCTGTCTCGGCAGGATCTCCTCTCCTCACTCAGAGCGTGGCTCTGACCCGTTGCTGTTCTGCTGCTCTGCACAGCTGGGGAAAGTTGTGATGCTTATTTAAAGCCTGGGCACGGTGGACAAATAAGAGTGTAGGGTTTTTTTCCTAACACATGGTGAAACCCTGCACTGGATTTTAGCTGCTGCAGCGAGTTACTAAAAAAAACCCCAGCGTGCACACACAGAAAAAGAAACAAATAGAAA